GCGTGCTGCTCCGCAAGAGCCCGCTGCCGCTCCCCGCGCCCCGGCCCTGCTGCCTGCACCTCTACAGCCACCTCACTGACCCAAGGAGCGCGTTCTCCACCTGGGAGACGGTGCGCCAGCGCAAAGGTGAGGTGGGCCACAGCGACATCCGAACCTGGAAGGAGAAGAACAGGTAGGTGGCCCGGCTGTCTGGCTCAGCGGTTGAGCGTCGACCCAGGAACCAAGAGGTCGCAGGTTCAATTCCCGGTCAGGGCACATGCCGGGGCTGCGGGCTGGATCCCCTGTGGGGGGCGTGCAGGAGGCAGCCGATCCATGATTCTCTCTCATTGATGCTTCTCTCTCTCTCCCCCTCTCCCTTCCTCTCTCTTGCTAAAAAACCAATAAAAACATATTTTTTAAAAAGGATGTGCATGAAAAGAAAAGAACAGGTAGGCGTTGGAGCCAGTGAGGGCCGGGCGGGCCTGTGGGGCCGTGCCAACAGGCTGGTGTTGCCTGCAGGTACCTGCCGGTGGTGGGGCACACGGACGGCACCTTGTCGGTGCTCAGCTGGCACACGCTGGAGCCCGTCTTCCACACGGAGGCGCACAGCCCGGGCCCGGTCACTGCCATCGCATCGACCTGGAACAGCGTCGTGACCTCCGGTCAGTACCCCCTCCCGCTGCCCCAGAGCCGGGAACCCCTTCCCTGCACAAAGGCCCAGCACTGGCTCTGCCCCACCTGGCAGGCGGGGACTTAATGGTGAAGATGTGGCGTATGTTCCCCTACTCGGAGGAGAGCCTGAGCCTGCTACGCACCTTCTCCTGCTGCCACCCCGCCCTGGCGCTGTGCGCGCTCCGGAGGAACATTATGGTGGCCTTCGAGGACCCCGACAGCGCCACCTACGGGCTGGTGCAGATTGGCCTGCACAACAGCCAGCGCTATGACCACCGGCCCCAGGACGACCACTTGGACCACATCACTGGTGAGGGGGCAGGGCCAAGGGGTGGATATATCTACACTAATAAAAGACAAACATGCAAATTGACCGTACCTTCGCTATGCCTTAAGCCATGCCCACCAGCCAATCAGAGCGACTATATGAAAATTAACCCAACCAAGATGGCCGCCAGCAGCCACGGAGCTGGAGCAAGCAGGAGGCTTGGTTGCCCCAGTGATGGAGGAAGCCAAGCTTCCTGCCTGCTGCAACCAGCTCTGAGCTCCACTCAAGGCTACAAAGTTTCAATTATAGAAG